TGTCCAAAAAAAAAAAAAAAAAGAAACCAAACCTTTCATAGTGACCTGTGTAACTAAAAAGAAAACTAAGAAAATAAAATTTTTTGCAGAAATGAGATTGGCAGTTATGAGAATCAGTTTTAAGATACTTATAACAGGCCCAGCACCTGTAGCTCAGCAGCTAGGGCACCAGCCACGTACACTGGAGCTGGTGGGTTCAAATCCAGCCGGGGCCTGCCAGACAACAATAACACTAAACCAAAAAATAGCCGGGTACCTCTAGTCCCAGCTACTTCGGAGGATGAGGCAAGAGAATCACTTAAGCCCAAGAGTTTGAGGTTGCTGTGAGCAGTGACGCCATGGTACTCTACCAAGGGCTACATAGTGAGACTCTGTCCCCAGAAAAAAAAGAAAAAGAAAGATACTTATAACAAAAGAGCTTGGTTTAGATGCAAATAGGAAGAAGAAGACTTCTCTTGACTCTTGACTTCTCATAGGGCTAGGTGTAATGACTCATACCTGTGATCCCAGCTTTGGGAGGCAGAGGTTGGAGGATCACTTGAGGCCAGGAGTTCGAGACTAGCCTATGCAATATAGCATGAACCTCTCTCTTCAGAACATAAGAAAAATTAGCTAGGTGTGGTCTATTTGCCTCTAGTCCCACCTTCTCAGAAGACTGAGGCAGGAGAATCCCTTGAACCTAGAAGTGCAAAGTTACAGTTCAAAGATTGAGCCCTTCCACCCCAGCCCAGGCAACAGAGGAAAGCCTTGTCTCTAATACACTCAAGGAACTTGAAAAAACTATGAGCCAAGGACTAAAGGAAAATAAAAGAAAGTATTTCATCAAATAGAAGATATCAATAAAGGAGTAGAAATTACAAAAAGGAACCATACAAAATTCTGAATTTGAAAAGTACAATAACTAGAATATCAGTGAACTTTAAAATGGATCCATTGAGAATAGTCTGAGGAACATAAAGATTGCAAGAGACAGAGACACTATATATGTTGATAAATGGTCATTCCATCAAGAAGATACAAGAATTTTAAATATAAACACACCATAGTAGCCCCAAAATATATTAAGCAAAGCTGATAGAATAAATAGATATATGTAGTTGTACGGCAATATTTGGAGGGTTTAATATCTCACTTCTTTTTTTTTTTTTTTCCTTTTTGGCCGGGGCTGGGTTTAAACTCACCCCCTCCCGTATATGGGGCTGGTGCCCTACTCTTTGAGCCATAGGTGCTGCCCTAATAGCCCACTTTCAATAATGGATAGAATAATTAGACAAGATCAACAAGGAATGGAGGTCCTGAGCAGTATTACAAAGTAGAGCTAACGTGCATATGTGCAGCACTTCACCTCCTACAGCAGAGTACACATTCTCAGGTACACGTGAGAAAGTTCTCCAGGATAGACCATATGTTAGGCCATACAAGTGTCAGTAAATTTAAAAGACTGCAATCATAGAAAGTATTTTCTTTGGTCACAATGAAATTGAGCTAAATATCAATTAACAGAAGGACATTGAAAGATTCACAAATGTATGGAAATTAAACAGTACCAGTAGTCCAAGACAAAAGCAGGGGAACTTAGAAAATACTTTGAAGAGGAATGAAAATAAGACAAAGCATATCAAACTTTGGGTGAAACCAGTGCTTATAGGGAAATTATATATAGTTGTAAACATGTGTTAAAAAAGGCAGAAAGATTTTTATCAGTAAACTAACTTTCCACCTTAAGGAACTAAAAAAATAATAGCCAATTTTGAGCTATATGAAATTACTCTTTTTGTGGCAAAAATTTATTTAATGTCAGTATTTTCACGTTTGTTTTTTGTGGTATTTTTAATTAACTTTATTTTTAAAAAGGGATGGGATCTTGCTGGGGTGCCAAGGCTAGACTTGAACTCCTGGCTCAAGAGATCTTCCCACCTCAGGCTCCTCAGTAGGAGGGAGTACAGGTGCCCACCACTGTGCCCAGCTTTAAATGATTTTTTAAAAGCTTTACTTGTATAGCTGGGCATTGTGGTGGGCGCCTGTAGTTCCAGCTCCTTGGGAGACTGAGGCAAAAGAATTGCTAAAGCCCAAGAGTTTGAGGTTGCTGTGAGCTATGACACCACGGCCCTCTACCAAGGGTGATATAGTGAGAGCCTGTCTCAAAAAAATAAAAATAATACAAAAAACCCATCACTTGTAAATTTTTAGAACCATTAAAAACCTTTTAATTGGAGTGACGCCTGTGGCTCAAGGAGTAGGGCACCAGCCCCATATACCGGAGGTAGTGGGTTCAAACCCAGGCCCAGCCAAAAACTGCCCAAAAACCCACAACCTTTTAATTGGGCGGCACCTGTGGCTCAATGAGTAGGGTCCTGGCCCCACATACTGAGGTCAGCAGGCGCCTATGGTCCCAGCTACTCAGGAAGCTGAGGCAAGAGAATCGCCTAAGTCCAAGAGCTGGAGGTTGCTGTGAGCTGTGATGCCATAGCACTGTACCGAGGGAGATGAAATGAGATTCTGTTTCTAAAAAAAGAAAACAATCCATTTAATCTACTTTTAAATTGGGCAAAATCAGCCACCAGAGGGTGTTTTTTTGTTTGTTTATTTATTTTTGCTTAACTGACACATACAAGTTACTTGTATTTATAGTGTACAACCTGATATTTTTTTGTTGCTGTTGTTTTCTGAGACAGCGTCTCGCGTTGTCACCCTTGGTAGAATGCCATGGCATCATAGCTTACAGCAACCTCAAACTCTTAGGTTCAAGTGATTCTTTTGCCTCCACTTCCCAAGTAGCTGGAACTATAGGCACCCACCACAACACCCGTCTATTTTTAGAGACAGGGTGTCACTCTTGCTCAGCTGGTCTCGAACTTGTGAGCCTAGGCAATCCATCTACCATAGCTTCCCAGAGTGCCACCACGCCAGTCCGAAATTTTTTTATTTTTCAGTGAGGATACTATTTCCTCCTTTGTATTCTAGCAACAACCAAGGAAGCCACGTGAATT